CGCCTTGATCTTTTCGGGATCAGGACGTACACCGTTCTTACCAACGATGCACCCAAGAAGTGGTATTTCGCTTGCTGCAAATATACACTTCTTGAGGTTTGCATACAATTGATGCTTTCGCATGATTGTAAGAACTTGTCGGACGTGGTACTTGTGAACCTCAACGTCCGACTTTCCATCCATAGCTCGACTATGGATGAATACGTCATCGAAATAACTCGGCGCGAATTCTCGTACTGGCCTCAACAGATGTGATACACACCTGTTGAACGTGGCAGGGGCATTACTGAGCCCTTGTGGCATTACTAGCCATTCCCAGAGCATGCCGCTAGGCGTGCTAACTGCGGTATAGGGTATATCCCGTTCCCGCATTAGGATTTGATAGAAGCCATCCATCAAATCCATGGACGAAAAGATGGTACTCTTTGACATACCATCAATGATTACGTCCTTCCTCGGTATCGGCGTCTGAGCCGGTACCGTTGCAGCGTTCAATTTGTTAAACGCGTGCACTATCCGCCACCCTCCTGTTGCTTTTCGCACACAGAAGGTCGGAGAGCTATGTGGGGAAGTTGATTCCCTCACATGGCCCGCTGCTAAACGATCGGCAAAGAACTTGTCGATCGCAAGTACTTGTTCACGAGGCAGTGGCCACTGCTTCATGACACAGTACTTCGAGCCTGGTTTAAGCTCGACTTCGTGTCGAATACCTTTATCCTTCGGTAATTCGCACGGAACAGTTTCAGGGAATACATCCTTGAATTCAACCAAATCTTCATAGAGAGGATTTTCCTTGAGCGATTCCCATGATTGGGACTCATATCGCTCAATTCGTGTCTTTTCATCTAGGACACTCTCGTCCATAGATGAACTACTGAGAACTCTCTCGTTCTCAGTAAACACTGTTGCTGACCTTATGTCGGTTACATACTCGTCTTCAGCGACGAGTATGCAGATCTGCTTGACTTTGCCACTACGCAGATCACGCAAGAATCTTTTATGTTCGAGCGTTGGCAACTGAGTGATCTCCGAAGTTAACTTCGAAGGCGCAATCAGATCAAGTGTATAAGCGCCTACACATGATCCGTTATTGACTATGACATTCAATGTCTCTGTCATTTCCTGGGGACTTATTCCCTCAGGCTTCGAAGGACTTATTCCTTCGTCTTCCCGGGGACTTATTCCCGCGGGTTTCGGGGAACTTATTTCCGCCGTATTTGTAATCTTGGGACTTATTCCCTTTACTTCCTCTAGCTGGGGTTGCGCAACCACAGCGAGATCCTCTACGAAAGACTCTCCAGTCGATCTAGGATTATCGTTTCGCTTAACCTGAGCGATCGATTGTTTCTCTTCTAGATGTTCCCCTCTAGGGATACATCTTTGTCCCAGTCCACCCGACTTATTCGAGTGGTGGACCTTCGGCGCAGCCTGTGTTTCCTCACAGCCGCCGGAACTTTGCTCCGAAGTGTAACCGTTTGGTACACTAAGGTTTTGTGCAGTCGTACTAACGACCGTACCACAAGTGAGGCCATCGCACTCACTCGTAGTACATCCACACGCTTGTGGACGCTCCAAAACGTTCATCAGATGGCCATCTGATGAACAAGCGGCAGGCATCGTTACTGTCCGATGTTGCCAGTTTACCCGTGGTTCGTACCTTCTGAGCCACGGTATTCCAAGGATGACATCAAATTTGTCATCCAAATCCAATACGATAAAGTCATCGTCGTATTGGGTATCTTCTAGCGTATAGTGAATCTTCACTATACGCTTCATGACGGTTACGGATGCGCCTGTCGCAAGACGTACCGTCATCCTCGTAGGAGGTGTGTCACATTCACTGAATTTAAAGTGACCATCTTCTAGCGATTGGCGTCGCACAAAATTGTTGGACGCCCCACAATCGACTAGAGCTCGAAGGGACAACTTATTCGTCACTTCGAGTTTCAAGGTAATGAGTGAGATCTCATTACCTAGAGCAGCAACGCACAATGTCTGTGTGTTGGGAGCAACCTTCATCAAGAGGCCTACAAATTCTCTTGACGTTGCTGGATCAGTAGGGTGCTCCGCACCTACTGATCCTGTCCGTTTTTTGACGGTCCATCCCGTTGTTGCGTCTTTGCACCAACTGCGGACCCTCGTCCCTGCCCCTTTCTCATGGGTGGACGGTCACTACGCCCAGTGTCGCGAGACACTGGACGAGGGGCACTACACTCGTAAGCGTAGTGTCCTGTCTTCTGACATCTGTTGCATCTCTGCAACTTCTTGTAGCCTGTAGAGCGAACCTTCTCGCTCTCTACATAACAGAATTCCATCGGCTCTGGACCTCCGTTGTCATATCGTCTCGGTTGACGATATGATGTCGAGCTAGCGCGAGCCTGTCTCAGACTGAAGTCTTCCTGCTCCGCAATTGAAATGGCTTGTTCTAGTGAATCTAGTTCAAGCCGGAACAGGTGAGTCTTGACGGGACCATCCGCAAGACCCTGCATGAACACCGAAACCAACGTGTGTTCATCCACCGGATTGGAACTTATACAACTCGTGAGATGTCGTATATGTTGAGCGTAAGCGTGCACATCACGCTTACCCTGCTTGAGCTTCAAGAGTTCGGTTCGAGCTCTGAACTCAGCTCTAGGCGGTTCAAACGTTTGTCTGAGCCGCGACTTGAAGACTTCCAACGACCCAAACGCGTATGGGTCGTGCAGCTTGAGCCCCAGTGCCCAAGTCTTGGCACGTCCTGCCAGATTTGACTGGGCAAATGCAACTTGCATATCCCCGTCGTCGATGCGACGCGCCCTTATGGCGTCATCCAATTCGACGAACCATCTCAAGAGGGAGTCTTCTTCGACCCCTCTATACTTTGAGATGTCAATCTTCAAAGTCTCGGGCCGACGCGAGTGCATCGACCCGCCAGCAGCAGCCTGCTGCTGTCTCAACAGTTCAAACTGTTGAGCACCTTGTTCTCTCAACAACTCTGCTTGTTGAGAACCTTGTTGGTGAAGCAAGGCTACTTTCTCGCGTTCAGCGTCAAGTTCATTTTGGATGAACTTGGCGATAGTAGCATGTTGGGCGTCTCTATTGAGAGCCTCTAGCATGACGCTAACAGCATGGATGCCCATGGTCGAACCCATTCGTTCAACCGCATCCCATTCGACATCGCTCAAATGGGAGTAGCCGTCACGCGTAGCGTGAAAGCTTTGGTCATCTTCATCATCCAACATATTCATGTTGGATGTGAACGCGGTCCTTGGACGGACTACGAAGTGCTACCAGGTGTAACGGGGCACCCTGAAGCTTGTACTGGTGACAGTACAAGCTACTTATTCTGATAACAGAATAAGGCGGTGCCTCGTAACTTCACGTACACTCGTACGTGCAGAGGAAGACGGTAAGAAGAAGCGAGTACTCGGTTAGAGTAAAAAGTAGAACTGTATTTATAATAGTTAATGTCTGCAATAAATCACTATTTATCTTCATCTAACTATGTCTAAATACAAATGTGTAAATCAGTTATCTGCTCACCACTCATTGCGTGCGTCTGTCGTGGCGCGTCTTCGTTGGTTGATATAATGGCCTATATCAACCAATTAGGAACTACTTGGAAGTGCTACAGAATATTGTCCTTATGACAATATTCTGAGAATATAACTCTTATAGTTATATTCTATTAACAATTTCTTATAAATTGTTATGTAACGATTCACCCCGTTACACTAGCTGCTGCTGTAAGATTGAGTTTTGTTTTTTTTATAACGTGTCCTTGTCATATTCCGTTCGAAACTTAGCGTTTTGCATTGTCGACATTCAAAACGAAGTATACGTGTTGATAAAAAGTAGTACATTAAGAGAAAAGTACCGTTGAGAGGTGATGTTATTTAATGGCTACGTTGAACTATAACCTGTAGATTCGAAGCACCCTAAAGTAGGCGATTCAGGTGCTCTTTATGTATTCTGTCCTCACATCAACGCCAAGAGGTTAGCGGCAACTCCATCAATTCATATTCAAAACCCAACATTCCTCCCATGTTCTTGTTAAAGCGGACTTGGCTTTCGAATTAAGAGACTTGTGCTTAGAAGTCTCCTCAGGACTGCTGGAGCTCAAACTGAGTGAGTTTGAAATCTTTGATGCGACTGATTTGGCTCTTCTACCTTGATGTCTTTAGCAAGCTTCGAGCTAATCACCTGCTTCACAGCATCTACCGCTTTTTCGACCACCCACCCGTCCAAATTTTCCCTTTCTCCACGATTAGCCTAACCAAAATCAATGTCCACTCGTAGCATACGTTTGTCTTCCGTCTCCGACTGAGCGGACGAGCCTAGGTTCGTAATCGATAATTTGGATGGCCTTTTGGGTGAGTGATCCAAAGGAGCACCACTGCCAGTAGACACGGCAAGTGCAAGCCCTATATAAGAATACGCTTGGCCATTGAAGACGACTTTGGGTGAGGCGATCGGGTGATTGAAAAGCGAACTCTTTGATTCTGGCGGCGCACAGAATGCACATACAGAAATGAACTTTGTGAAGGGTCTCAATTTATGATGCGGTGGGTGACTTGCGATGCAGTGTCATCAAGATATCAATATTTGTAGGAAGTTAACTGTAGGGAGAACTTGAGCGCTGAAGAATTTTGAAGAAGAACTTGCAGCACGACGAACTGGCTTGCCGCATGACGACCTAGCTGCCCACAGAATTTTGATAACTAGATTGCATCTCACTCATAGCCAATACGTCTCATTGTATTGAGGTTTCGAGGTAAATAGGGGAGCAGGACCACTGTCTTGATTCGAATGAAGATCGGATAATGGAGACGAGATATATATATTAGAAAGTTTAACGTCTTCGCACATTTTCATAATTTGTACGAAGGAGGAGTTTCGCGATTGTCTATTTACATGTTAACATAAGCAAAATGTCTGAAAGTCCTGCGCCAGATTTTTAGCTATGTGCATGATCTCTGGAACAGCCTGAGCCAAGATGTTAGCGCTGGAGGATCCGGGGGCTAACCACCTGGCTTTAAAATCCCTTTAAAGGCGGTCCATCCACGATGGTCGGCCTCGTGTGCCGCTTGCGCGGCCCATCGACGTAGAGTGTAGCCACCGAAGTAACCATCAGGCGTGGGGAACGCCAACTCGTCGTAGTATCCCCCCGATGAGATCATCCATCTGCGATGGTGGCTCTTATCGGCCGCTTGCGCGACCCCGTGACGAGGATTGTGATCACCAAAGTGACAGCAAGGCGTGGGGAACGCCAATCCGCCGTAGTATACCCCCGAGTAGCTCATCCATCTGCGGTGATGGCTCCCATCGTCCACTTGCGCGACCCGTCGGTCCACTGCGTCCACACCTGAGATTGCGAGTGCAGCTTGCTCGAGGCAGACTCCAGACCTCTTCGGATCCCTTATATGGGAGGGTTTCCTTCGAAGTGGCCGCCCCTCATTTTCATGCTTTGTATGAATATCACAGTCGTTCTTAACTACACAAAAAGTAGTTGGTATCTTCGACTGTCTTTGTATTAAATGTTTGAGCCTCTCCAATGTTGTTATCTAAAATCTGTACCTTATCCACAATTTCCTACAATGTTTCGACAAAAAGAAGCCATAGCGATGTCTTACGTACTGGCCATTTAAAGTGGCTTTTAAGCACCTGCCTATTGTGGCACCGCGCGTGGTTCTCATGCCACAAAAATTGAACAGTGTGGTGGGTCACCATACCAGACAGACACCTCCACACGCTCGAGAAAGTTTAGAGACATAACCACACGACAACGTTGCACTGTTATACCGAAACGACACAGACTGCTAATACAGCAATCGCGTCGCTGCCATGTCATTTAAATTCACCTCACGCATGCATTGTAAAAGGCCATTTCAAACTCATGTTTTAAGAATAATTTAAATACATTGCTGTTGCCATTTTATTGACATTAGGTGAGAGAGTGCGGAACAAACATGGATTTGTTAAGCTCAAGACCAGAACTAAACCGCTAGTGTAATAAGCTCAGACCACTAGTGTTAGTGTGACCCCGGCCGAAGACGTGTGGAGCTTGCTGGCTAGCAGCTGAAATGCATGATACCAAACCCTAATGTTCATAGAAAACTTAAAGTCCTGGTGAGTCGACACTCGTGATCAGAGAACAACATAGCTGTTATCGCTTTTATAAAAACCTCCCAAACATGGTGCTAAACTACCCATGCTACTAATCCGTGTACCCTTCCCGCCCATATTCTCCCCATTTACGTAGAACTGACCACTAACGACTCTGACTACGTATCTAAGCGCTTCGCTAGAGTCTTTAATGGCCCATTATGGTGCTTTTTGTTGTGAGGTAGGAGAAAACCTTGGATTATCAGTGCCGCTCCTCGGTCCAGAACAACAAAATTTGTGAAGATGCATCATCGCTGCTCGATTACGTCAACATAAACAGTTTAGCCCGTCGTGTGAAGGCACAGAAGGTATAAATTGTTGATGAGAAGATCCACCAAGATAACGTTGGCGACGTGGCAACAGCAGCAATTTCAGGGAGCGGTAGACAATTGGAGAAGAGTAGGTAGGGATATGTTTGGCTGTGGAACCAGGCGCACGTATACTTTTATCATTGACTGTAGGTTCTGCTAGGAATTGGTAAGCGATCTAAAATGTAGAAGAGTGAGAGTTAAAGCTACGGACAGAACGGACTGGACACAGCAGCTCGTGGACGAAAAAGGTATTCTGTTAAAGAGAAATTACGTAATAAGGTGCTAGTTATTGATCTGGAGTCGAATCAAGCCGAGCAATATGGGTCTGTTGCTGTATCTCGGTACGACAAACCAAGTGAGATTTTTTGAGGCGAGGTGGATGATGTGCGGATTACGTGCTTGGTGTTTCATCGCGTCCCTAATAATGAAGCGCTTCGCAGCACACATCTATAAGCAGCATCACTATCATGTCGCAATTGTTTTTCGGTGAACTTTGATTGGTCCCGGTCTTCTACAAGGTGGCTACCACTCCTGACTAGACGATGACCTTAGACATATGATATAATCCGCGTACATCCACGACAGCTTTGCGACACCATAGACGTTTGCATGATCTACCGCAGTTGCGAGACTCGGACCGGTAAATTGTATAGTCTCTACTTCGCGACCGTCTCGCATCACATTGTGGGTGAATTTCGTGATCTACTCCTTCTACGGGAGTATTTGATTTGGATTGTCCATGTTAAATCTACTCATACGCTTTAGACTTTGCGTAGGTAGATCACCCGACACTGGTCAGAGAACACGCTTTTTGATTCGTAGAATATGTGTTGCGCACAATAACAACTTCAAATCAGTGGATCAAACACTTACCGTATATGTAACGGGGTAAAACGTCACATGAAATTGACACCAAACGGTGTCAATAGAGATATTGTCCAGCGTGACAAGTTCCTTCCAATTTTAATCTGAGATGGATAATGTTAAGGTAGTACTATCCCCTTTTAGGATACTATTCATGCGCTGCTCAGAGTTTGGCTGATACAAGACATGTAAACCATAGATTACCACCAATCGTCGCTAGACGCGCGCAATGAGTGGTGATCAGGTTGTCGTCATCCGGCCATGTAGATTAATAAAGGCAGATTAATATAGAATTTATATTGCTAGCTTAACTACATCAAATTCAGTTCTCTTTTTGCCTTTTACTCAACATAGCTGTTGGGTAGATTAGCTTCCTCTGCACATACTAGTGTACGTGAAGTTTCGTGGCACCCCAAGCAAAGGGTGCCCCGTTACCCCTGGTAGAACTTTGTAGTCCGTCCCACGACTACTTAGTGTCCGTCCAACATGGACATGTTGGACGTAGAAGACGACAGCTTTCACGTCACACGTGAAGGCTACTCCCATCTGAGTGACTCAGAGTGGGAGGTAGTCGGCCGCATGAGTGTGCCCATGGGCGAACCCGCCATCAGTGGTATGTTGTCGTCTCGAAGCAGAGACCAGCAACATGCTGCTATTAACAAGTTTCTAAAAGGGGAACTTGCCGTCGAACGACAGAAGATAGCCTTGCCACAGCAGCAAGGCTCTCATCATTCGATGGGTGGGCCGACGCACACGCGTCAACCCGAGACCTAGAAGATTAATATATCAAGGTACAAGGGAACCGATGAAGACTCACTTTTGAGATGGTTCATCGAGTTAGACGATGCCATCAGGGCCCGTCACATCGAGGGTGACGAGGTGCAAGTCACCTTCGCCCTGTCAAATTTGACTGGACGAGCAAAGCCTTGGGCCTTAGGTCTCAAGCTTTACGACTTAAACGTGTTTGAGTCGTTGGAGATCTTGAAGTCTGGGCTCAAAGAGAGATTTGACCGCATAAATTTGATCGAAGAGGACGTGAGTATGGTAGTGCACCCACAGTCAGTACGCGGATTGGAAGAAGGTTCCAGCGTTCCTGAGAGTGATAACTCTCGATAGCGTTATGTTGAGGGTGTAGATCCTCAACCACCTGCGGATGCTTTCGCCCAGGAAATCACCGAGTCAGTGAAGTCTTGATGAATGACGGATCAAGTGTAGGTGCTCACACACTTGATCTGGTTACACCTCCGAGGTCAGCTTCGGAGGTAATAAAGTTGCCAACGCTAGAATCTAAAAGATTCCTGCAAGATCTGCGTAGTGACAAGATCAAGCAGATCTGCGTACTCGTCACAGAGGACGAGTACGTCGCCGATATTCAGTCAGCACAAGTGTTTGCTGAGAACGAACGGGTTCTCAGTTTCTCATCTATGGACGATATTGTCCTCGATGGGAAGACACGAATTGAGCGATACACGTCTCAATCTTGGGAGTCTTTGAAGACAAATTCGATGTATAGGGATTTAGTCGAATTCAGGGATGCTTTTCCTGAATCCGTGCCATGCGAGCTGCCCAAGGATAAAGGCACTCGGCATGAGATCGAACTAAAACCTGGTTCGAAATACTGTGTCATGAAGTAATGGCCACTGCCTCGTGAACAGGTAACAGCGATCGACAAATTCTTTGCCGATCGATTAGCGGCTGGTCATGTGAGGGAAACAACATCCCCGCACAGCTCTCCGACCTTCTGTGTGCGAAATGCCACAGGAGGGTGGCGTATATTTCGCGCGTTCAACAAATTGATCGCTGCAACGGTACCGGATCAGAAGCCGATACCAAGTGAGGAAGTCAGCATAGATGGTATGGCTAGAGTACCATCTTTTCATCCATGGATTTGATGGATGGATTCTATCAGATCCTCATGCGTGAACGGGATATCCCTTACACAGTCGTGAGAACCCCCAGTGGTATGCTCTGGTAGTGGCTAGTGATACCACATGGGCTAAATAACGCCCCCGCAACGTTTAACAGATGTGTTACGAACATGTTGCGATCGGTGCGCGATTTCGTACCGAGTAACTTCGACGACGTCTTCGTCCATAGCCGGACTATGGATGCAAAGACGGACGTGGAGGGAGGTTCACAGAATCAACTTCCGGAAGGTTCTTACACTAATGCGAGAACATAAGTTGTTTGCGAACCTCAAGAAGTGTATATTTGCAGCGAACGAAATACCACTTCTTGGCTGCATCGTGGCTAAAGACGGCGTACGCCCTGATCCGGAAACGATCAAGGCGATTGCGACTGGCATGTGCCAATTGAAGTCAAGGGACTTCGACAGTTCCTTGGATTACTTGCACAAGTACTTGCGCAACTACGTCAAGATGATTGCTAATATCTCTCGTCTGTTGAAGAAATGCGAGAGGTGGTCATGGAGTGCTGAGTGTCAGCACTCCTTCGAAGGTATCAAGAAAAGCTTGTTGCAATCGCCTGTGTTGGCAATTGCAGACCAGGACACACTATTCAATGTGGTCTGTGACGCCAGCGGTTTTGCGATCGGCTGCGCGTTAATGCAGTACGACTCAGACGGCGTCGAGCGCGTCGTCAATTATCAATAGCGTCAGCTGCAAGCAGCTGAGCTTATTTATTCAGTGCATGACAAGGAACTACTTGCCATGTAATATGCACTGGCTAACTTTCGGGTACATCTCTTAGTAGATAGGCCCTTCATCGTTTATACCGACCATGCGTCGTTACGCTCGGCCGTTAATAGTCCACAACTCTCACAACGAATGGCGAAGTGGGTGTCTTTCTTCGCGGAGTACAACTTCTCCGTCGAGTATAAACCAGGTCGACTTAATGCCGTCGCTGATGCTCTTTCGCGTTGGCCCAATTTCGAGCCGACCGCTTAACCTAACAGTCCGGATCATCCCACGGTAGCGAAACTAACAGTGAGTGTTCCGTCGTCGAATATGCTCGACGACGTGCGGAAGGCGTACGCAGAAGATGAGTCTCTTCTGTGATTGATGGATTGCGTTTCTAGTCTATGTATTCAAGATTTGAAAAGCTTGGTATCTTAATACCACTCTTCAACCGAAAGGTGTTCGGTTCGTGATGGACTGCTGTACTATACAACAGTCACGGCGACACACCTCGTGTCGTCGTTTCTGCTCATGATGCGATTGCGCATCATGTATGAGTGTCACGATAACCCAACAAGTGGGCATCGCGGTAGAGAAAAGACATACCTCACTGTAATCGTGACTTCTACTGGCCACACCAGTACAAGTTTGTGCGCAAATACATTCGCGCTTGCGAAGTTTGACAAGGGGTGAAGCCTAATACTTTATACCGTGCACCCTTGCAACCTCTACCGATTCCGTCAAAGTGCTGGCAGTCCCTATCGATGGTATTCATCTTTGGTTTTTCCAAAGAAGCTAAAAAGAATACTAGTTTTCTTGCGTTTGTTGAACGGTTCAGCAAGGTGGTGAATATTGTTTCTGTACCGGAGTCAATTAAAGCTCAGGGCTGCGCTCGTGTCTTCATCGATACTATCTTCCGACTTCACGGGTAACCCCGTGAGCTCGTGTCTGACAGGGACTACCTCTTCACAGCGGAGTTCTGGCAATCTGTGTTTTGTTCACTTGGAACACATTTGACGATGTCGACTTCTGACCATCCAGAAACAGATGGTCAGACGGAACGCGTCAACCGCGTCCTCGAAGAGATACTTCGAGGAAACGTCCACTCGTTTGCAAGATGAAGTGAATTCTTGCCGATGGCGAAATTAGCCATTAACAACTCGGTACATGCGTCAACCTCGAATGCAACGCTCTTCGTGAATGGCCTACGCCATTCACGTTTACCCGCCTTCTTAGAGTGTGACTCTAGTTTAAGGGGGGGTGGATTCGCTCGAACAAAAACCGATCTGGTTCTTGCTCATCACCCGTCGACAATGGTGTCGACGTGATGGATGCCGATGTCGATGCGAACGATATCGATGATGATGATGATGACGACGATGCTGGCATATTCAGCATCACCAAAGACTTCCACAGTGAAGACGATGACGTCCTCGCTGGTAAAGAAAACGTTCTTCCAGCAGTGCACACGAAGCGAACTGCTGTTGACAAGGATGAATCATCAGAGGAATTTCTGCTGACTCGCGAAGCGGATGTCCGCTTCGTTCAAGACTCGATCGCAGATGCACTGGACAGATAAAATAGAAACGTAGACAATCGTAGAAGCGCAAATGTTCTTTTATTTGATGAAGGAGATTTGGTTTTACTGTCTACAAGAAACCTACCGAAACACGCAGTGACAAACGTGGGCAGCAGTAAATTACTGCCCAAGTAAATCGGTCCATTTCGTGTGTTGCGCCGAATGGGCAACGCATACACGATTGAACTGCCCCGTAAGCTGCGTACGCATCCTACGTTTATCGTTGGACGTCTCCGCCCGTACTATCAGTACGAGCCCGTTTTGAGAGGCGAAGAAAACATCCGCGTTCGAGAGCCGAGACCACTTTCGAGTGGTCCCGTTTCAACGAGCCAGTCTGGTCGACGACCTTCTCGCGCAGTTGAGCGGTGTCTCGACGATCTGCAGCCAGCTCGTCACGAAGACAACGAGTCGAACGTTCGTTCTCGAGTTGTGCCAGTGCAAAAGCGGCACGATCGTCCGAACGATCGTTCGCTAAGGAGCTGTAATTACCCTTTACAAGGTCATGAAACTCATAACGCCGAGTTCGTTCATGATCCAGGTCATCTAGTAACTATTCCGTTAAACGGTTCGGCTTTTGAACATAAAGCTGATCCGACCCTTGAGCCGGATCAGGTGTTCCCGCCTCCACCACATCCTTTGGTGGACTCTGTAGGTGGTCAACGCTTTCTGGTGGAGCGTATTTTGAACCACCGCAACGTGAAGGGCGTCCTGACGAGTTACCTCGTCCGCTGGCGTGACTACCCACCGGCGTGGGACAGCTGGAAATCTCACGCCCACCTGATGGTTGATGTCCTTGGTATCGTCGAGCAATAAGACGAGACCCAACCGCTGTGTTCGAAGAAGGACCGTCGAAAAACGACCTCCCCGAACTTGAGTACAGGGATTGCAAGGTGTCGATTACTTTGGCCATCTCGGAAGAGATGCGCGTCCTCCAGTAGGGAACATTAGAAACGTAGGCCTCCCTAGAAGCACGATTCGATCTGTCCAGATAATTTGGACACGAATCACCCCAAGAGAGACAGGTCAATCCTGCCTCTCTTGACAGTCAATGCAACTTGTAGAGTACATCGACTGAGTTGCGATTTTCAAACCTGATGCGAGCTGCATCGAGTTTATCAAGACAGGCCTCACGGCCAATGCACTCGATGAAATAGACGAAGGTGTTGTATCCTGCACCAAGGCCTTACCATCTCGGCCACGGTTGCCATTGCACCATCGATGCTTGAAAAACGCATCGATGAAGAATTCTTCCTCAGCACTGATATTTTCCGTGCTGAAGTTAGGAGAGCAGATCTTCCTAAAGTCTAATAACGGGTTTCGGTTTTGTTCGGAAGTCATGCCGTCCAACCGGTCCAACTCTCTGGATGACTGCATCCAAGGAGACTCCACTTGAGGAGAGTGGCAGGCACAGAGGACCTTGAAGATGGAATTCTAAAACTTACCAGTAGAGCGGGAATCTCTATCAGTGACAATTGCCACGGGCAAACCATGTCGTCGAAACACAAGGTCGATAAAAATCTTCGCTGTACATTCTACATCGATATATTCCGGCACTGCCGCTAGATGAGCCATCTTGCTCTATTGGTCAACAAAGACCACAATGCCAGTGTTGCTTTCCGAACATTTCGGTCGGCTAAGCAAGAAGTCTATACTCATGGACTCCATTACCCAGTGGGTACAGGCAAACTAGCAAGCGGTGCAAAGGCATGTGCTAAGGGTTCAACCCGTTGACAGGTTTCACACGTACGCACATATTTTCTCACCCACTTGAATAATTTGGACCACCAATAATCTTGGCTCACTGAGCTATAGGTCTTCTCGCGACCGAGATGACCACCTAAAGCGGTATAATGTGTCTCATAGAGGATTCGATACTTTAACTCCTCATCATGAGGGACAGCTGTACGATGATTATCCTCAGACCATTATCGATAGATAATCGATGTAGCCTCGCACTTAAACGTGCCAACTATTCTATTTCCGAGTCTCAAAACTTCTCGCTCTTAAGATCATGTAGCAAAGCTACACAGTGTACATCCTTGGCAAATGCCGCACGGACTGAGTGAGTGACTGACTATGACAGCTTAGTTTCGTGAGAAAGCTCATTGTCAGGTCGGCACGACAGCACACAAGCAACTGCATTTTCTTTCCCGGCTTACACTTTAATTCGAAGTTGTATTCGGCAAATAATGAAGCCAACGAGCCATACTCTGGGAGAGATGCGGCGACTGTATCGCAGTGCACAATGATGCATGATCCGTATCGATTATGAATGGCTTTGAGTTGATCAGTTGTACTCTGGATTTGAGTAGAGTGTCCTTCATAGCAAGTAGCGCTTTGTCATGAACTGTATAGTTCTTTTCAGCAGCATTGAGCTGTCGAGATTTGAATACAATGACGAGTTCGCGTCCATCGACATTTGTTTGTAACAGAACACTGCCTACGACAAAGTCAGATGCCCCACAAATGACACTGAAAGGCCGATCATTACAGGACGAAGCCAGTATTGGCGCATGAAGGAGACTTTCCTGAACTGATTAAAAAATCGTGTTCGGTGTTACGCCAGCACTAAAACATATTCTCTTGAGAAGATTGGATCATGGCCGAGCCAAATCGGCGTAATTCGCATTAGAATTATGCACTTAATTGGCAAGGACACTCCACTTACGTAGATCGATAGTTCTTTGTAACCGGGAAATCGACTATGACCATAACTTTAGCGGGTTCCGCTTGAAGACCTCGCTTACCAATGAAGTACCTTAAAAGAGAATCTCTTCTGCACCAAATATGGACTTAGATGCATTCTCATACAATCTATTCATGCGCATCCACTCGAGCCCCGCTCGTAAACGATCAATGTGATTGTTCACATCAGATCGACTATTCGTTGCACGACTATGGGCAAAGATGTCATCAAAGTGCATTTGTGCGTAACCTCGATGAGTTCTGAATAGTAATGTCACCAGACGATTAAAGTAGCCGGGCATTAGACAGCCCTTGTGGTATAACAAGCTACTCCCAGAGCATACCTCGGGGGGGGGGTACTAACCGCTGTTAGCGGATATCGATTGCTTGCATGAGCAGATGGTAATAATCATCAACTAAGTCGAGCGCACTGTACAATGCGCACCCCACCATATCATTCTGAAGAACATCCTTCTGGGAGATTCGTGCATGATCCGGTATGATGGCAGCATTAAGCTTATTATAAGCATTGAAAATGCGCCACTTGCCATTTTGCTTCCTGACATAACATTTCGGTGTGAAATGGGGATATTTTATCTTACGCACCATTCCAGACGCGTGTTTTGCACGAAAGAAATCGTCAACGATGTCACATAGTTCGTTAGTTACAGGCCACTGTATTTTTTCGCAGTACGTAGTTCCTGAAGCTCGGTTAATATCATGACGTACACCTCTATCGGGAGGTACGACAGATGGTGGGTGTGACACACCACATCTTAAACATTTTTCACCTAAGGATGTAATGGATCCAAAGAATCTCTAAGGATCGAAGATCCACTCCGGGCACTGAGTGCCGCCTTGTTGTCCTCTAGAACCGACTCATCCATTAGTGAGGACGCAATCAACTCGACATCGGGTCTAATGACCACTAATTCGGATAAATCTCCTGCCTTCAAGGCCTAGCTGAACTCGTCATCAGACATTTCGTCTAGCTCACAAAGAGCTCCTAAGATGAAATGGTTTCCAGGATGGCGTTGCCCTCTACCTGGCCAGTCACTCCGTTGACAAGTATATATAATGTATCACTATTAGCACTGTGTGACTTTAGGAAGCCTGGTGCTTAGCATTTGCCGCCTGGCGTCCAGGTCGTCTCTTTGATTAGACCTTGCACCTCTCTTGGGTTGGAACAATACTGTCCCCGTGTTTACTACTACTACTACGCTCTACGAGAGCTGATGTCTGTATCGACATCCGGCGCAGTGTAACATAGCTCAAACACTCCACACAGTTAATTTGAGCGTGCCACACCACTTACATTATACGGTCCTAGCTTAAAACTTAGTTGCCAGAAAAGTCGTTACCGACATTACGTGTGGTGCCTTCACAGCCTACCACACTCGGTGCATTTTTTTCGTGCCATCACACACACACACATATCGAAGTAATCACTTCCTAGATAACTCGGGCCTAGTCAAACCATGCTTTTAATATGCAGTGACCGTTATCACAACGAGTAACACTTAACCAAGTACGTGCCGTATCACTAATATTAAACGAGCTACGGTCGGAATCCACATTTTCAACATTGGTTGTTTTCAATATTGCAGATAGTTAATTTAGACATTTCAATGTTCAGCACATTGACGTCTTCTGTCAAAGACTCGCGCCAATAGTGCTTTTTTTGCCTAGCAAAGGTGGGTTCATGACTCTCCAAAAATTCGCTTGTAACATTGCGCGTAACACCTAAGGTCTTCGACATCCGATTAATCCATGGCTCATGGCGTTCAAGACAAGCCATACCTAGGATGAGATCATTTCTTGAGTCCAAATCAGAGATAAGACAGTGTTTAATGCTGTTAAAGAGCAATAACTTTGTACTTAAGTTCAATGGAACTTTAGGTACCTTGACACGACTTCCAGTCGCTGAACAAAGTGTGGTTGAATCACACTTATGCGCTGTAAGTGCTTCAGCATAACGCTGACTTCTTACAATTGAACAACGCTGAGATTTCTTGCAAGGCGCCCCAGAAGCGATCTAAAATTGACCGAGGCTTTTCAAAGCCTATAACGTTCGCGTTGGCGACCAAAAGCCAGACTTGTACCCACTCTCCATACCATTAGGTGTAGGGATCTTTGGGACTAAGCCCTGCTGTAATTTACCTCCTAAAAGTGTAACAGAACCCAGTTCTTCCTCAGTAGGGCGTTCCGCGCCTACTGGGTATCGGCATTTCCCCGTGCCATGTCAGAATTCTGGAATCGGGTAGGGTGTTAACTCGTAGCCTGGAGCTGTCTAAGCAAAAGGCAACCAGGACGCAAGTGTTCGGTGCTTCCGCACGTATGACACCATCGTAGAAAAATTTGCTGCTCAGCAGCTTGAATATAAACTTCATCTTCAGCATAACTGACATCCACCGGTTCTGACCTATTAGCGGCCGGAGTTCTCGTGGAGTCTGCTCTCTCAGAGCTAGGGTTGTACCCATTCCAGCCAATCCTGGCTGACTTGAAGTTATGCTCAGCAACAAGAGCAATTCTCACAGCCTCTTAGACTATAGAGGGGTGGACCCGAAACACTTCGATTCAGGCAATGTCGGCACGGACATCCTGTGTGAAGATATTCACATGGACTACCTCAGGTAGAGGATCAGACTGCACAGCAGTCATGAGAGTTCTCAGATCTTAATTTTGGTCCATAAACTCATTCTAACCCTGAAGAATAGGCAGAAAGCGTGAACGCACGCGGTACCCTTGTTCGGTGGTAAAAAAACCTGTAACAATTGTGCTTAAGCGACACTCATAAGAGAAATGCTAAGTCTACCGACGTGCCACGAGTAAAGGCCCAATCCTTTCCCTTTCATCGAGCTTTGAGCTAGCCAGCGAGACCTGTTAATGGTCCAGCTTGATCAGGCCTGATCTCACGTCCGTCTCCATCTCACGGATCCAGAGGATAAGGTTAATACCCTCCTTTCCTAAGTACTTTTTTTGACTTCCACTCTAAATGGAAGAGGCCTGGCCTCTTCGTTAGGAATAGACACACACGGAGGGAAAAGCCGACGTCATTTGGTCTCGGACCTATTCTATAAAGAACGCCTTATAGTGCAAGAAGCTCTCAGCACGTGAAGTCAACACCT